GTGGAGAGTGTTAATCATGGATATTATCATCTTCATTATTTTAATTTTAGAGAAATACATGAAACAGTTTCATTAAAATTTCATTAAGTAGTATATGAAACAATTTCATAACCACATATGAAACAATTTCATCAAAAAAAGTATTATATGAAACAATTTCACAAGATTAACAATTTCATGAAAAAATTTCATAAGATTAACGATGGATGAAAGTAGTTTTTACGGCTTTTACAAATTGGAGTGATTTTCATTTGATCGCTTCTCTCTCTCTCTCTCTCTCTCTCTATATATATATATATATATATATAAGTTCAATTGCAAACTGATTTTCCATTGTAATCGGGAGGCAAAGGAGAGTGTGATATGTGTCCTCGATGTATATAATCGGTATTGAATAATGAAGGTGAACGCTCATTAATTATTCATCATGAATGATACAACATTCATGACGAATTATACAACATTCGTGATGAATAATACCCGATCATGATCCATATTAAATTGATTCACTTTTCATAATGAATAATACACATTCGTCATGAATGATACATTATTCGTGATAAATAATCTATGAAGGTGTCAGACATGTGTCGCGCTCTCATTTATCCCCTGATTCACAGTCGAAAATTAGTTCTTATTTGAACTCGCTCCTATATATGATAGTTTGTATATGTCCATAACACGTCACACTACCAATAAATATATAAATTTATAGGATCATACACAAATAATAGGTATGCTTGTGTGCTAAAAAACTTTAATAATATCAAGATGATAATTAAATCGTTATTCTATATATTAATTTTACTATGATTAATAAAATTAAAAAAAAAACCTTTATGGGCTATTTTTTTAGGGCTTAAGGAAATCATAGGTCTAACCCATAATTGGGTTTTTATAGTTGGTTTCTCACTCACATAAACTAACTAACTAACTAACTAACTAACTATATATATATATATATATATATATATATATATATATAAAATAAGCCTAAGCTTAAAGGATTAATCAATCATTTTTCAGATTTAAAGATTACTAAACAATAAAAAAGAAACTTATTTTTAGTACTCATTCTAGATTAGAGTTTTGCACTAGCACCCGATAGAGGCCAATGTGTGTTTGTATGTGGAGCTCCAATAGAGGAAATCTAATTTGATTTTCCAATGCTCCGGAAGAACCTACATTATATTTAAAAGGTATTCTCTGAAAACACCCGATGGTTAATTTTCAAACGTCATTGGATCCGGCTTAGGTTTCTTTCCTGAAACTTTTTCCAAATAAAATAAAATGTGTATTAGTCAAAAATCTATTAAAAGAACTAATAAAATGATATTTGACAAAATAAAGACAAGAACTTAAAAAATGACGGTGATTTATAAACCCTCCATTACACACTACTATAAGATGGGTTTATAGAACATAAAAAAAATTGTTTTGAGTGTTCTAATGAATTATTTTATGAGACTTAAATTTACAGTACTAAACTCTTGTATAAAGATACTTAATAAGTTTATATGACGATTTTAAACGTCTTAAAAAGCTTTTTAGAACATTTCCTATTATCCGTTTTATAGGATATTATTTGAAAGATGGCTTATAAAGCAAGTGTACTATAAACATATACATGTATGCATATATATATATATATATATATATATACATATATATAGGAAGATTCAAATGAGAACGCTAACTATTTAAGAAAACAAAAAAAAAATATCGTTAATGTACAAAATCACATATAATCTTACATTAAATGGAAGCGGACGACTTTTGGGACCACTTCAGTCATAGGGCAAAGTCGTCTAGATAATGTATAATTTGTTACATAAATCTTATATGATTTTGTACATTAACGACCTTTTTCTTATGTTCTTAACTAGTTAGTCTTCTCGTTTGAACCTACCATATATATATATATATATATATATATTCACCCATAAGATTTGAGCACAACAACTTCTAGTAGCAACATATTCAGCTTCAGCGGTTGATGTGGACATTGAGTTTTGTTTCTTACTTGTCCAACCCACCAACTTACCACCAAGAAGTTGAGAACCTCCAGTGGTGTTCTTTCTATCTATCTTGCATCTTGCAAAATCACTATCTGAATATCCAATTAGATCAAACCCTGAGTCTTTGGGATACCAAAGACCCAGATTAGGTGTATCCTTCATATATATGAATATTCGCTTTACATCGATCAGATGAGATTCGTTAGGTTCAACTTGACATCGTGCACATAAACAATTTGAACACATGATATCAAATCGGTTGGTTGTCAAATAACAACAAGAAGC